GTGTTAGCATAAAGTAAGTACATTGTGCGTTTTGCTTAATTCTATATGTTAACTATTTCGGACTACCGGTGACATCTTTATATTGATAGTCATTCAGTGCGCATGCTTAACAGGAAGGCGAAAATACGATGGTAAAACTCGAAATGCCTAAACCAAGATGATGAAAAGTCGAAAGTACGATGGTGAAAAGTCGAAATATCGAAACGATGACAATAAAAGGCAATAGTACGATGGTAGAACACGAAATTATATCGAGTTTTCATAATCGTGATTGAGTTATTTCGACTTTTCACCATCGTATTTTCGTTGCTTCGAGTTATGTATGTGTTGCGATGCCCTCACGGGACACCGTAGTTTTATGTAACCATTTTATATGGAAAACACAAAGCACAATCTAAGTTTTTGAAATATAAAAAAAAAAATAAGAATGCGTTTGATAAAAATAAACATTTCTCTCGAGACAAAGGATCCATACTTCGTTTCGTTTCCCATCACCTTGTACAATTGCAAAGGAATTATATAAAAACGTATGAAAAATATCATATTTTCACGAAGGAACTCACTTAATTTCTCTAAATTACCCGAGAAAAAAACGTCAATCTCCTTTTTATTGCACAGTATTTTCTACGCGTTTATTTCCCGTGTTATTTGTTTGTTTTTTGTTGTTTTTTTGTTGTTGTTTTTCTGTTGTTGTTGGGGTTTTCTTTGTGCCAATCATATATTCAAGTCAGGTCAGTATAAAACTTTTAAAATTAATCGCCTCAACGTTACATGAGAAATATGACTCGTATCTCTTGATACAGGTCGGAGATGTTGCGAAAGCCAGCACAATTAATGATGGACATATCCATGTTGCAATTGAAGTCCTTGACTTTCGAAATACTGCTGGTACAGGTTTACTGAAGCCTGGGATGAACGAAGCTAGGAAATGTTGCGATTCCAGCAATAACAATAATTGCAGCATAGGGGATGTTTGTGATGTAAGGTTTTCTCTCTGTTTTGGAAGGTAATATACTTATTTTCAAGAAATTGGTCCGGTATTGTGATCTAAAACGTGGACAGATGTTTCAATTTTACCAACAGAAAATGAACATAACAATTAACGTTTCTAACATAATTTCATTATTTTCAGTATTATCTTAATGAAATGAATAAAAGATAAAAGATAAAAATGTCTACAAATGCATATAAACAATCAAATTTAACAGTGATTACTCAACCTGACACACGTAAGAATAGATCAAATATTTATGATAAATTAAGGGACTGTTGGTTTTTTTATATATTACTAATTACATGTAATAATTAATTAATGTACCAATGTTACGCTATAATTGCAGATCATCCGGCCAATGGCCAATACATTGTGAAGGCGTGCTGGTAAATTCCTCTAAGGTTTTTACTGACATGAATTCAGCCAAAATGCCGACAAGTGTGAAATTTGCGATTTTCGGTCTTAGATCATGGAATAAGGTAAATTACGGGTAACAGAACTAAAAGATATCTGTATCTGTTTATAAAATTCTGGCCAAAGCTTTCCTTTACGTTTCAAACATTCAGCTTTTCTAAAGGTGTAATATATTATTTTTAGATAAATCGTTTCATATAATTTTTAAAATCAAAAGAATTAAGGTGGAAAATGAAATCTGCCGTTGTAAAATTGCATAAACAATATGGAAACACCTCAATATGGAAACAACTCGATATGGAAACACCTGGATACCTTCCCTCTCTATTTGTAAAGAGTAAACTTTCTTTTACAGATAGAGAAGTTTACTATTTACATGATCGACGATGATACTGTTCAGGACAACTCGATACATGAGGACGAACTGATAGATTCATTCACCGGTAGCATAGAGACTGAGATAGACACAAACTTCTGGACAAGTAAACAACATTTGACGACACTTACTAAATGTGCCAGGTATTAGTTTACTGAACTAAAGAAAATATGTCAGATTTGGGTTTTATTTATTTGTCAAAAGTTTCTAAAAATTATAAACACGATCATCTTTGAGACGGGTTTATTTGAACATTTCAATCTATGATATTTATGATTACAAAACATATATCAAATAGGTACATAAATCATGGGAATGAATAGACTATAGTAAAGATATATCACTCTAGTTCATTATTTTATTTCAGCGTTACTCTTGATGTCCGTTTGTTCTGTGAATCCAACTATTATGGCGAAAATTGTACCCAGCATGTGACACCAGACATGTTTCACCACATAGATATAGTCAATGGATCTACCAAACATGTTCTTGACTGTAAAACAAATGGTTTGTACTTGTTTCTTAATTTTTTAATAATGGATTTAGAGTATGTATCCTAAAGGTAGCAAAATGTAAACAACCTAGTGTTTTGACAGCCATACAAAATATCAAATTACTTTGACAATGCCAGTTGCCGAAGAACAAAAGAAGCAACAGATTGTTCATCTTTTTTTTTTTTTTTTAAAGTCATATGAATATAGAATTCAAACACGTTTTATGCTTGACACATAATGAAAATTCGTTTTACAATGTTAAATGCTACTGAGAAGTGAAAAGGGTCTCGCAGAATTGGTTCGGGCTCCAACCCCCAAGTGTTTGTGAGATAATACCCTGACGTTTGTCCTCAACTGCGTACAATGCAACAACAGTGAATGAGAAAAAGCTCGCCTACGGGAACCTTCAAGACAACATCCAAGATTAGTAAGATTAGCCCTTAGCCTGATGTATGTCTAAAATAAGACCTGTAAAGCTACATTTATATTCGTTTTGGAACTCTCCATTATCAATTTGTTTAATATCAAGATGAAAGTTTGAAGTTGGTCAGCCAACAGAATAAAATAAAGAAAAAAAAATCCTGAAGAAAGCCCAACACGGCAGAATTAAAAATGATACAGGCTCTGTTTGAATGAGCCTGTTCATAGACGGTAGTGGTAATTGCAAGCTACCGTCCAGACCCCCTACCACCGGCCCAAGCAGAATTCAACATTTAACAAAAACTGGTATAATTTTGAAGCATCTGTAGAATAAAACCTGGTCTGTTTCTGCGGACTGACTAGACTCTGTATTAGCTGGCAAGAAAAACTATTCTTGGTTCAAGCATGGTGGGTTCCGGAAGAGCTGTTTGATAAACATGCAGTTACTAGGAACTGTACTTGTAGAATATACCTACAATTATCATCGTTTGTTTTTAAAATAATAATTATTTAACATAATTCATTTTGAAGACGCTCCAATGAAGTCTAAAAGCATAAACTATATAATTTGAAAATCTTACATAGATCAGCTTGGACACATAAACCGGGAAATGTGCTCAGAAATAAATTTAAAATAGATCTTTAGTGCGATTCTTAGTCCAATTTGAGTTAAAGGGACACCACTGAGGTTTCTCGACATAATGGGACTAAAAATATTTTTTTCCAGATAAATGTACCATTTGATGTAGGTGTAGACCACTAATCTTTGTGCAAAATTTCAGATCATTCGCGCTCTTCATTTTACCAGAATAATTATTCAATTTGCAAAAAATGACCCAAAATGAAAAGCGTTTAAACGCTTTTCACTCAAATGGGGCAAAGAAAAACATACTATTATACGATTTTCAATTTATTTCAAAGTATATTTCTAAACTATATTTGCATATTTTTCTGTTTAAAGTGACCCAGCTCACTTATGTAAGTAATTCAAATGTTATGTTTTTAGGCTTTTAAACCTCATTGGAGTCCCTTTAAAGTGTTAAAGCGTTTTTCAATTTTAGGTAATTTTACACAATAAAAATGGTTATTCTGGAAATGCGGAGTGAGCCAATTATCTGAAATTTTGCATACAAGTTATTGGTTCAGTCCTTCATTAAAAGTTATATCTCGTAAAAACATTCCCAGATCCGCCATGGCAGTCCTATAAGTGACAACATAGCTTACTGTAAAATACTCATTTAACCATTTCTCAGTTGTGGCGTTATTCTAAAATTGTCTACATTACATGCCCTTTCACTATTTCGACTGCCTTCATACTACATGTACTAGTATATTCTAAGAAGGTGACTGTTGAAGAACAACTAATATAATGTTTATGTGGTACCAGAACGCCATGCTTATCGAATCATTTTATGTAAATACATTTTCAGGTTCGTCCGTGATAAACATTCTTACCAAGGACCCATATAAATACACACTACCCTACCTTAAAGAGAAACTGATGTTGTTTTTGGTTGACAAAGTCTGCTCGTTATCTGCAGATGACGTCATTGTAGTGATTGACAATGTTAGATATACAAAGTAAGTTCTCAAAAGATTACAAGTTTGAATTTTTAATTAGAAAATCCAGTAAGAGAATAAAAATATGTGGCTCGTGCCGTTTTGAAGACAATTCTTTTTATAAAAAGTAAAATGTTCATTTCTTTCTATAGAAACAAAGGTCAAACAACTTGCCATTTTATAATGTATGAAACGATGGACAGAAAAGCCATTTTGAAATCTAGCTTCAAAGTCATAATCAAAAATTAATACATATATGTAAGATTTATGTCTTACTAGCGACGTGTATAATGTGTATATTTAAAGCGGAAAACTTCGGGTTGCATTTAATGGTAACTGTCGAGCACCCATCACTGATTTAGAAGTTCAACATGCTTTGAATTACATGGAATCAGATGAAATCGTCAAATACTTTGGTGATAATGTTGAAAGGTTAGAAGAAACGTCGCTGATACGACAGGCATGTGCAACTTTTGAATTTATCGTTTCAATGAAATCAATGTAAAATGTAGGAATAAAGATGATTTGTTGCAGCAAATATTCAAATTTATACTGAAGATATATAGCATTGTCAAATGATCATATTGCATTATTATTCATCATAGTTTTGACTTAATTAGTTAAAAATTTGATTTGATTTGATTTGATGAAGATTCGGCTTAGTTTTTTTTCATCAAATAAATGTTAGAGCATTAATGCTTTATGTTATTAATTCTAATCTTGTATCTTCTTTCATAGGGACGTTTCAACATTGTGTACCGTTTATTAGACGTTTTTCTTGGAGAAAAATACACTGGTTGTGAAGGGAACAGATGCAATATATCTTTACGGATAAGTTACAGAAATCAAAGGTATTCTAGTAGTAAATGTTAAATTCTGGTTCACCACTTGATGTGTTTGACACGGTGTAACGTTAGTGCTGTTAAGTTTTCAGATATCTTCTATCGACATTTTACGTTAATATGTTCTTTTTCGTATTATCAAGTTGCTTGTTTACTTTTTCATATTTACAATGAACGAACATTTTGGAGAATTTTGTTAAAATTTAAAGTTTATTCATTTAAGATCGACTAGATAGTAAGACGGGTTGTCTTACTCACCCGGATGTCTGTTTAAGTTTTATATGTAACTTCTTGTCCAACCGCCTTATCAACCTCTAAAGAAATTCAACTGTGACTTGTAACAGATGCCTTAAATTTGAGATTAAAATAGGAGATCACTATTCATGGCACATAACTCTGACATGGATTTAGAATGTATTATGGTCCATTGTGAACTTAGAAAATTCTTAAATTGGGTTTTTGCATGCAACATAAATCTTCAAAACTACTGAAGGTATTCAAGTGTCTTCGGGTTCATAATTGGATATCACTATTGAAGGCCTATAACTCTGATATACCGGTAGATATCAACCGAAAAATGCCCCTCAGTGGTCTTCACAAATGTTTTGTTAAAAGTTTTGTGTGTACAATCAATATTTTAAACAAGAAAAGATATTGGCTTAAAGGCTCATAATTGGAGATCACTATATAAGGCCCATAACTCGGCATGAATTTTGACTGAATTATATATAGCCCTTTCATTTGAACCTGAACATGTAGACGGGGTCACTATCTTGGGCCCATAACTCCGGCATGGAATTTATAGTCCTTTAATTGTTAAAATAGAAAATAACTGTTTTATTACACACATGAAAATGCTTCAAATGTGCATACCTTACTTTTCAAAAATGAAGAATGTTCTATTATATGCAACGGGATGAGCTTTTTTATTTCCAGTGTCTCCAATTGGGATGTGACCTTTGGAGATGAGATGAATTACTGTTTTCGTGGTCTTGAAAATACACAAAATAACACACTACATATCGTTAGCAATCTCCCAGCAGTAAGCATTATATATTATGGAACAATTTGTACTAGATTTACCATTTTACTTAATATTTATCTGTATGATAAATTTCAGAAAATAGTTATGGAGAGAAACAATTTAGTTGTTTTTAATCTATAACTTGAGTTAGTTTCTCTATATGAATTGTAAGTCCCAAAGGGCCCAATATTTAACAGTTCGCCAGATGTTGCATGCTTTACATTTCAAATGTTTTAAAGCATTTGTTTTACATACCATTGCAGGAAGACACTGCGCCTTTAGATATAAAGCTAGAAATACACCCGGTAAATGAGAATAGGAAAAAAGTTCTCACATTTAATATTCCAGTTATAAACTTCACGAAAAATTCAGTAGTTGGTAATAGTTACAGACATTTTCATGCAGCGGAAATAGAGAGACGTGATAAATTGACGGGAGTTGGGTTAGTAAACCTATATTTTTGTTTTGACCTTTGTATTCCGTTCGTCTGTACATCTATCCGTCCATTATCAAAGCTCATATCTGGGTGATAATAATCATACTTTGGTAAGATAATAATCAACTGAGATGACGTGAAGAACCGATATTTTAGGTCCCTTGCTTCAATTTCATGGTTTAAACCTACAAATTCTGCATCATACATGTATCTCTTGAAACCCTTACAAGATATTCTCTTCACCTCGGAGAAGAAGGCACAAAGGACCCCATTTTGGAAAGTAAGAAGAAAACCATCAAGCTGCTGGTGGTATATTGCTAGGGTGTCTTGCGCACAAGGTCATGTTCAACTATTCAGATAATTATTTCTTCAAAACGAACATTTAAGAACTCTAAAGTTATGAAAATTTAGATAATATATAAGTTAGTTTCAGACACATTTTTCATGTATTAGTCTCTTTCCCATTTGAAACACTATATTTGTTTCCTCATGCAAATTTGCATCCGGCTTATATTGATGCACCGTTGAGACACCCATGATTGTTAAGTGTGCTAGTATTACATCAAGATATTATTTTTGTATGAAATGGGAATTACAGAAAACAATAAAAATAATGTTATTATTATTATTATTATTGTTTCATCTTTTTAATTGTTTATTGGTCAACTAAAACATGCTGTTAGTATAACTACGGAGCTGATTCATGATTAGACTTGGAACCATGTCACTTTGTAATAATTGAACGCCGAATGACACTATGAGTCAATGAAACTTAACATCTTTTTTTTACAAGTTTTAAAATTGGATTGTTTGTTTGGTGTTCTACTGGTTATACGGGAAAACGCTGTGAAGAAAAATGCAACAGTACAGAACTTGATTGCAATTACGAAAAATGCCAAAGTGGTGCGTATGATTTTTAAATGTAAGATTAAATTCAATTATTGTTATATATGACGTGTTGACTGTGGCATGTACTACGATATACATATGTATCTTAGTTCCATTAACATAAGAGCCGCGTCATGACAAAACCAACATAATGCGTTTGCGACCATCATGGATCCAGACCAGTCTGCGCATTCACACAGTCTGATCAGGATCCATGTTGTTCGCTTACAAACCCTATAACAAGTAGAGAAACTGATAGCGAACAGCATGACTGCGTTCAGAGTCTGAAAGTAAAATATTTAAATATCCAGCTTTTAGAGTCAGGTATCTTTTGACATATTTTGACAATTGGAATATCGGTATCTTTCTCTACGATTAAGTACCTGCATGATTGCTGACCGTTTCAGTGATTCAAAATTGTTTTATCACTATTTTATCAATTTTTGATATGTTTATGAAACTTGGATTGAATCTTTGAAGTGCTGCTTTTTAACACAGGTGGTCATTGTTTTCTTTAAAAAAGAGGTTTATAATATTTAGATTGTTATAAACGTTTTCACTGTAGGAGAAAAGAACAAATATGCTCACACTATACACTGTGCACAAGGAATGTGTAATGACAGCACAAAGTTGTGCGACTGTGATCCCGGTTATATTGGTCCTGTATGCAAAACACATTTAGACTACTGCAAATTTGGCTGGGCGGAAAATCCATGTCTAAACGGAAAGTGTACAAACCATGCCAATGGTTTTACTTGTGAGTGTTCTCGGCATTATACTGGAAAATTTTGTGAAATAAGATTAATGACACATGCAAACACAAGCAGGTCTAAACGAGAAGTATTTAACGGAAGCATCATATTACCTGCAAAGTCAGCTTCAAACAGAGCAAAGAATGTTACAAAACAATGTCCCTTTTCAAACAGCTGTGGCAATGGAACTTCTTTTGTCTTTAAAGACACTTTGAAATGCATATGTGATTTCGGATTCACAGGTGCTAAATGCAAGGAAGTAGACCATTGTGCGTCAAAACCCTGTTTGTATGGCGGGCTTTGTCAGAACATGGAAAATACCTTTTCGTGTAAATGTCAGAATGGCTTTCGTGGCATTAAATGTGGCATGGTTAATGAATGTGAAGACAGTTTTTGCCAAAACAATTCAACATGCATGAATATTACATCAAGTAATATTAAATGTATTTGCAAGAAAGGCTTTACGGGGAAATTTTGTCAGGTCAAGACTTTTTGTGAAACTAAAACTTGCACGAACGAAACAAAATGCAACGATCACGACACTGCTACACAAACATGCTTCACACCAAAGACAACCAATCATTCTATGCAAAGTAAGTAAACAATAAGATAATGTAAAAATATTAGTGATATTAGCCCAAGTAGTTTTGTCCCGTGTTGTACGTAGGTGGGTCAATATGCAATGCAATATGGTATAAAATTCAATAAAAGAGCAAATAAATTAAAACTTTGGACACCAGTTTCACAGGTATAGTCGTACATAACTGTCTTGACACTTGTCAATAGCTTGTCAATGCATTGTCGAGGAACATTTTTGGTGGTCCAAATCTAATTGTTACACTTGAGAACTGGCGTAAAATAGTGAAACCATCTTTTACCACCACCAGCAATATTAGTAAAACGGCCACTATCATATTTCGGAAATATTCTCGGTATTTTTTTAGCGCATTTAACACGCTTCTTCTTCTGGTCAGATGTTCGCAAATAGAGGCATCCATTTGGCAGTTATTCGCCTACCATTCAGGTGATTCTTAAGAATCGTAAGAGATGGCCCTTTTAATATCCCTGCCTATCTTTGGGCTATATGGGTAAGTGAAAGTCTCGCATTTTTACAATGATAAACTTGACTATATAACTGTTTTGTCAATAACTGTGGAGCGTTTTCTACCAGAATTACTGGCATCTTTAATTGACTCGTGCTCATATTTCAATTGATGCGTTCACTTCGGAACAGTTGCATCAGATACTTCATTATAAATGTTTATAGTAGTTTTTTCTAGACTCTATTTCACACTTTTAACTGAGCTTTTACCAGCCATATTTTACACCCAAGTTTAAATCGTGAAAGGGGATATTTAAAAGTGGATAAAAAAATTAAAATTTATTTTAAAGCAGCGCCCTTTAAGCAAGCCCTACAGAAATACAACAAACAAAACTCAAGAAAAAAATAATTTATATTGCATTAATATTGACCCCCCCCTCGTTTGATTTTAAAAATGGGTTTAAACTCACCCATTTGGTTTTTTAATTTAAAATTTAAAAATTTTGTTATTTAAAAGTGAAAAATTTCCCTTTGTGATTTTAAAATTTTTACTTGTAAAGTGTGGGGAAAGAATGCAATATTTTTTTTAAAAATTAAAAGTTGAGCGCTTTCTATATTAAAAAGTTTAAAAAGGGTTTTTTAAAGGGATTTTTACAATTTTTCTTTTGAAACCTTAGTATTTATTGGGGGAAAAAATATATTTGTATAAAATGAAAGATACTTGTATTCATAATTTTAATTAAAATTTTGACTGAGAAATGCTCCAATGGTTCACCGAAGAGACTGAGAGACATTTTCTAATATATTACACAGTTGGTGATAGTATTAATGAATTTTAGGTTATGATTGATGTTATTTGACCATAACGTGCATGGATTCAACATTTTATCTTTAAGATGTTCTTTTATATGGGAGAGAATAACAATTGCTTACAAAACTTATTTCAAATATAATGAAACAAGATCAATGAATGTTTTATATTTTAAATTTCAGAATTATTTGTAAAACTTCTACCGGCACTTAGACCAGAAGGGATAGATGAGGATAACATAACGGATAGCGTAAAGATGTTGCTGGAAAACATTACACAAAATTGTGGAAACGTCAGAGTTATGTTTGATGTCTTTTCCTTTGCAAATGGGTGGGTAATTTTCATGACGCAGTGCCTGTTGAAATGATATGTACTGTTGTAATCAATCGGGAGTATTTCGTACTGAAATCGAAAAATAAAATGAATGGACCATGTAGCTTTTATAATAGGTCTCTTCTGTAAAGATAGAAATATTACATGCATTTTAAACAATTGTATGTGGTATTTCGGATACATCTACTTTAATTCCGCAGAAAGTTTTGTAAATGAAAATTTGTCAATGAGCAAGATTCCTGTTAACATACTCTTCAATTAATCTTCGTCCCAAATTACGGAAATAAACGTCCATAGCGGCGAAGTGCATCGATTTTAACACTATTTGAAACTTTGCAGTGATTTGTTTTTTTTAACTTAGTGGATACCCGAATTATTTCAATATCATTCAATTTTGTAAATGCAGTTTTCCGTATTTATGATTGTCTAATTGATTAATTTGGCTTAGATGTTATAATAGGTGGAAAATCTAATCGTTAAGTGACTTCTGGATTTCGTCATATAAGCCGAACAAAGTGAAAGTTTAATTCATTAACAAATTTAGGCACATTTTTTCAGATCTAGTAATATCTATATCGGAGTTCTTTGTGATGGTAAGCTGTTGTCGGCAACACTTATTGGACACCAGTTTAAACATTTCCATACGAACGAAATCATCAACATTCTTCATTTTGTACCAAAGAACAACGAAAACAGTCCTGCAGCTGATGTCGGACATGTAAGTAGCAATTTCAAATGAAAACAATTATTCAATTTTCTACATTTTTGCTGTAATACATACAAAGTGACTTCACATCAATAAATACAACACATGTCTTTTTTTAATTTTACTGCATTTATGTGGAATTGAGTGGTGAAAATGCTCAGAGTGGCAGTTGAGGTCTTCTAGATACAAAAATGAAACATTAGAGATACTCCGAAAATTCGGCAAATGTTGGGTTTCCCCATCTAATGCCGAGGTACAAACACACTTTTACAGATTATAACGATTATAAGCGCAATGCTTTATTTGTTCCCCGGGATTAGAAGGGAAAAACTCACATTTGCCGATTTTCGGATAAAATCTACCTATAAGTCAAAAGAAAAACAACAACAACAACATACAAATATAACAGATATACCTTTATGTTGATGTGTTTAACAAATATAATTTTTATTTTTAATGTAATCCGACTGTTCTGACATTATCGTACCAATGTGTATAACAATTATTTTGGAATATGCATCTTGATCTTGTTATTTTTAGACATGGATAGAAGATAACTGGATCATTTTGATAGGTATATTAGTGGCTGTTGTAGCAGTTCTAATTGGACTTGTCAAGTCATTACATATTATATACGGGTATGTTTGTATCTTTGATGAAACGTAATCTAGCCTAGTCGTGATTTAGTTAGTACAAGAGGGATACAACAGAAATGAAAGTATTTGAGATTGAATATGATAGTCGAGTAACCAATGATATGCACTTAAAAACGCATTTATGATTTTTAAGACAGAAAGATAGCACGCAAAAAGCTTCAAACGTTTACTATTTTAGTTATTTTGTAAAATAAAATTATTATTTGAAATCAAAATGAAATAGTATTTGAAATAAAAATGGTCGTAAACAATAAATAAGTTTGACATGTCAATACGTTTTGACATTGTATTATATTGGCCAGTTTTTTTTTTAAATGTGTAACGTTTATCTAACAATTGTTGAAATTGAAAAAAAAATATATCATTCACAAATTTCTTTTATATTCGACAATTATAAACATAATTACTTTAAAAGTTCAAATCTGCTTGTTTAACTAGAATTTTTCTGCTACATTTTAAGGATAAGACCAGACAGAAGAGTAAAAAGAAAGGTAACCACAATTAGGAAAAGAAACAATTACATCGATGTCTTTGAAAAAGGTACAACAAATCTACAGAATACAGATGAAACAAATAAACCCCATATCTACTCAAGTGGTTTAGGATCAAGTTATGTCATTTATAGTCCGAGCGGCCGCCAAGATAATTTGCAACAGGACAAAAGTAATGGGTACACTTCCTCAGTATATAACGTTTCTGCTAAACCATCATTGTCTAATGATGCCAAGTTTATAAATGCTTCTCAGCGAGAACATGGTACTGAAGCTGTACATGATGAAGAACTACGTGGGCCTCATTACGAAGCAAGGTTTCCATCTCCTCTTTTGGATAGCGAACAGAACTACCGCAACAGTTACATAGACTCGAAAATGGCTTTCTTGGCCAGAAATCCGATACGGATTAAGCAGTGACAATTGGTAAAACCAGCTTGCTTCGTGTATACTTGTCATGTATGACGCATATGTATTTTCTATTAGGCTTATTGTATAATTATGTTACCATTTCTTACCATTTTATCACTATACTGCAGTAATGTCATTTTACTCATCAGTACCAGTGTTGTTACTTTTCACTTATATTTTTTGTTCCCACTGCTCCCGAGGATCTTCTTTTTCCTTACCAGTTGTATTTATATTACTTCTTTTACAATGACTTTTATCATGCTGAAGGGTTCAAACTCAATGTGCGATCAAATGTATCTTGAATGTAGAAACTTATACTTAGTTTTTATAGCGCATCATTTTATTGTAATTGTATTTACATGCTAAAACATTTGAACAGTAAATTATATTATAAACATCACTGTTCGTTTGCTAGTTAAGTTCAAAGGCACACTGGCTTTAATGACAACACCTAAGAGAAATCTTAATAAACAGTAAAAGAGATATTTGAGCAGAACTTGCTAAATCAAACGGCAAATCAAAATGTGGCCATGAAAGGTTTGAAATATCTTGCAAATGACAGTAAAATAAAGAAAGAAAATGAAGGGGTAAAGCACCTGATATAGTTGCATTCTCGTTTAAATGTGATAAATGACATCAAACGAAGTCGTCAGAGATAGACGGTGACAAAGCTGAAATTATGAAACGCTTACGATAGTCTAAGGTCCAAATTGTTTGCTATTTCTGAGATCAGAAAAGAAAGTAGTTTCCAAATACAAACTCAGGTATAGATTTTAAATGTTTATTTTTCTTATTAACAAAATACATCTATTAGCACAGAAAACAACTATAATTTTTACAGCTATAAATCTTACATAAAAATAAATATGAAAGAATTAAGTAACCAATACATGTATAAAAACAATGTATGTATTAAGCTTTGGTACATAGTTTCAAGGAATTGAATTGTATGGCTTATAAACTTGTTAATATATCACAATTATATAAATCACAATTATCATTGGTAAATAAAAGAATACCTTAATAGGATAATTGAAATACACAAAATGTATCTTTTAAATACATCGGACTCAACTCGAGAATTTAACTTGAATCAGCAGAAAGTGAAAAACGATTATGGACAAAATGCATTCAATAAAAACTGTGTGATGAACACTTGTTGTAAAGAGAACATGAACGACCAAATGTTAGGTAGATCAAATTGAACACTAGTAAAACGAGGTTGGGTAGGTATTCTTATATCAATTATGCCAGCAGCTACACTTGCATGTTTGCCAACCATAAAGAAGCAATCCAATATGCCAATATAATAGAAAAACAGAATCCCTAAAGAGCGCCCAAATCGGCAAAACTAATAATGTTGCAGGCTCGGCTTCATTGACCCTGCTCATAAATGAGTGTAGCATGACCGGACAACATTTTCATTAGTTGCAAGACTTAATGGTGGAAAATATTATGCCCAATACATGATAAAACAAGTATACTGTACATTGATTCGGCAAAGAAACGATTAAATCCGGATGTCGTTTGATAGTACAAGTATTATACAGTTTTATATTCATAAACCCTACTCCAAAAGACATTTGGAGGAGCTGCCGAGCCTGATAAGAACAGGACTTCTCCTGCTTTTGGAGTTTTAATGTCAGCTGAAAATACATCACCACTTTTATTCAACTCCCCAAGACAATTCATTCTTGAACCGTATTTTTCTTCCTTAGGGACTCCTACCATTGCATTTTTCAGATTTTGGGATCGGAGTTTAAATGTTACATTTGAATTAGCCGGTAGTTCAAAGTTTCTGGGCTCAATAATTTCACATACATTTTTAGATATACAGTCTTCGTTACATTTTGGGAATTTCTGCGGCGATTTACTGACAGTACATTCTATCAAAAACAAAGCAGCATATTCGTATTTTTCTGATTTTCCCTCAGCATATACGTCAAGCCTATAGAGTCCAGCCGTGGGGAACCGAATGTGTACGATTTTAGCATTATCTCGGGCAGTTATCATTGTATATCCTTTTAACTCAGTTTTGATATCACTCGATGCCTTCAACTCAGCAAATATTGGCACTATTTTCTTCTGATCAAGCTGGATTGTCATCTCTTCTTCATCTGATTTAAAGACTGACATGGTTTGTATCGAGTCAGCAAAACCTAGTTCAATGTAATTCGGTTCCGGTCCCCATGCTTTACGATGTTCAGGAAACTCTATTTCCTTCTCATACGCTTTTTCACATCTAAGAGTATATTCCATCAACTTTCTAAACTTTGCGTGACGATAATCTGACGCTTTTCCATACAGGGCTAGACTGTATTCTCCAGTTTTCGGTGGGACAACTCTTATTTCGAATGTTTTATCGTCCAGTCTTTTCATGCATCTGTACTGATTGATTTCATCGTGGTTATCGTTCTTTAAATCTGAGGTAATATTTGATAGAGGAAATGTTTCTGTGGCAAACGATATTGAAACTTCGTTTTCAAAATAAACGATGGGTTCTCTATGCGACTTTAATTGAAATCCTAGCTCTCTTGACTTCTCTGTCAAACTCGGCTTTTTATTGAATTCATCAATACTTATCGGATTTTCCAAAAGCTGCCATATTTCATGAGAGGGAAAATGGTCGTATGCGAATATTTCCGGATCTGTTAAAAACCAGAATTCGTCGAATTTTCGGCAAAATTTTCCATTATGGTCAAGAAACCCGGACCCCCAAGTACAGTCAATAAACCGCCATTCGTCATTTATGTAAACAGCATTCCAACTATGGTTTCTTTCTGCAATGGCAAATTCTTTATCTGGTTGATGACGTAATCCCTTGGAACATCCGGGTATTATGACGACAGGAATTGATACCTCCCTGAAAAGTAAAACATTATGAAATTGAAGTAAAAGAATAAATTAACTTGGTATTAAAGTGATACGACACAATTGTAATTTGAATAGCAGACGACGTATCCAAGCAGGTTTCGGCGAAATACATGAAGCATATATTAATATATGTATTCTTCATCTTTACTTTAATTTGAAGGACCTCCACAATATGCATTTTAATAGGTATTTTATATCATACAGTGTACAACAATAACTTTTTTTGTCACTTGTGTATTTATTATAGGGTTAAATTTAATATATTGTACCAATGTAAAATCTTCTCTATTGTTTTGAAATACGAAGACTACATTTGCCAAAGTGAGATATATTTGCAATTGGGTGGTTTGAGATTTTTATATATGTATCTTAACTTCACTTTAAAGGACATCCGAGCTATGCATTTCAATAAGTATTCAATAAGCACATAGCTCTGTCTTTCAAACAAAAAGAGATGTTATGCCAAGAGGCCAATGATATGGACCGAAACATGTGGCAAGTTTATTGAAAAAGTCTAATTGCATCACAGTACGCTAGGAAAAAGACAGTCTTACTTGCACAGAGCGGCCATGAGATTAACATAGCTGCCTTGACCTTGTCTAAGGGTGGACACAGCATCAAATCTCATCTTGTCGGAAAGTGTTTTCTCTTTGTCGTATACATAACTGGAAAAGAAATTAAGCATGACTTTACTATACAATGACTAAGCTGTTACTACAAAATTATATATAAATATATATGGAAAATATATAATTCTGACGGAGCAAATGACTGAAAAAAATGTTGTCTTTAAGTAAACAAAGTTTAATAAACATGGCTGATTCGTATCACAATGAAATATTAAAAACGTTTCATTATATAGCATGTAGTAAAACATTTGAGATATCCAGTATTGTTACTGTTTGTGAATCATTTCTTATGCATGCACGTATATTTATGATAATGATGCCATTGTGAAGGGATGGAGGGAGGGGGGGTCAAAAAGGCCGTTGGACGAATAGCGAAATCGGATATGTCCAATTCTTAATAGAAAAATAAGTGGCATTTATGAAGTTCATAAAGGGGAGGGGGGTATAATTACGTGAAAACTATTGCTAAAAGTTATGGGTGAAAGACAGTGAACAAAATTCTGGCAATGAAGACATCGGTGGAGATGAAATGAATACCTTTTGTGCTTGAGCGTAAACCATTAACTAGAAATATTCTAATTTAACAAGTCTCATGTAACTATCTTAAGCACAAATGAAGGTAGAATCTTGCTGTTTTGTAATTTGTTAACAAAGGAGTACAATGCTGTGAAATATAAATGTTTATAACAAATCAGAAAACGTCGGAAAAATGGCAATCACATTAGCAATATGCCAAAAAATAATAAAGAATGTGCATGAAATATATTATATCACCTCATGGTATAAAAACTATAAAATGTTTCTAGTGCATCTAGATTTTTCAACATCCGTAAATACGAATGTTAGAAAGAAATTATATTACAAGCATGTTTTTAAAAACAACACTACAACACAATGTGGCCAAACGTCGTGATACCTACAAAAACATGAAGTGAATATTGTGTTGCACACCACACCTAACACACAGTTATATGAATTAATTAAACAATAAACACTTCCTACACCATCTTCAACATAGGTAACTGAAGATACTCACCTGTTGCTAGTTAAAATAAATTTTAAATTTCATATTACAAAAAATAAACTATGCTTACATATTTAATTAACTAACAAGAATTAAAACCTATGATGCTTCACGATGTTGCGTAGAGACAGCTTGAAAACTTAAGTTAACTATAGCAAAAAAAAAGCTGTAACAATATTTTCCATTTGCTTCAGTAATCTGTACCCGTTGAGATCCAATTAAGTCACATATATATACAGAATATTTCAGACATCAGTCCATAAATTAAGACACTATGAGAAAGGTAATGTGTCAGTCAAATGTATGTATGGCTGGTCTTCAAAAATACCAGAGACGATGGGAACGGCGGAGAAAACAAGACACGCGTGGAAGGACCAACACTCTGATGTAAACATTTGCGGTCCGATCGACCCTGATGCTTTTCATTAACAACTACAACATTCATGTTAATATTGTTAAACATATTCTTAATTGTTTGCCTTACATATGTATGCATGTGAAACTGTATTATATGTAGAAAGAAAAATGAAAGAAAAATAAAAAAAGAAGATTACTAGTAAACCAAGACAAGTTTAGTCATTCCGTGTGTCTCCGCACTTGTAGTTCAATCAGGATGAGGGTGTAAATGTTCGCAATATCAATTACATTGTATACTTGTATTTGATTATGAATAATTAACTTAAAGCTTACCTGATGTTGCTACAGACCCAGTAATAAAAAGCTCTGACTTTTTCAAGATCGGACTTAGCATCAGTGCACAAATGTGCTGCCAGCTTTTCAACAGAAATACAAACCGACTCGGGGACCTGGCAAATAAAAATCAACAATTTTCTTAGTATATGTCTGCCCTTTATATTTGCTTAATATATGTAGTTTGACAAATAAAAAACTAATTTTGGACAAAGCAAGTCCAGGAAATGTTGTTTAGTTAAATCTAGAATATCACTTGGTAAATTTACAGTTTGTAAATCGTATAATATTTACGAAATATTTTGTTTAAACTAAAATATCTCAAGGACAATTTTACAAGGTTCGGCAATTTCTAAAGATATACAATTTCAATTTATAACTTTACAGGCATAACATTCAATATGTGTGACGCATTTATATTGTTAAAAGCAGTAATTTCAAAACTAGTTTTAAAACATTTAATAAACTGATTTTTGTGACGCTAGTAAAGGAATATAAACATTCACGCATGATAAAGCAAAATACGAACGTTTCTTGCATTCTCGTCCACGTGTTTGAACACCGTAGGGTCGGAAACGATATCTTTTTTATTCGTTTTCACCGCAAGTGGAGGTGGTAATTTGTTGGTGTCGTCTGTACCTTCACTGGAAGCTTCTAATTCGCTCTTCTTTGCTGTACCCGATAGATAGCTTGCTAGTTTATCAACAGAATTAAAGGCATCGTCAGGCGCCTGTTGAATTAGATATATGATTATTACTTTATTGATAACTGTAGGAATCAATTAAGCGGAAGAGTTCAATTAAAAACATGAAAGTTTTAAAGTTCTCAAAGGACCATATTTCAATCAAAGTCCAAGTCAGAGTTATGCGATTTGGACAATGGCATACAATCATGATCCTGGAGACATGTAATAAGTTTCCAGAGTAGTTCAGTAGTTTTGAAGATTAATATTGCAAACAATACTTTATGAAGATTTTTCTAGTTCAAAAATGGCCACCAATCAGTCAAAATAAATGCCACAGTTGTAGATTTTGGATAATGACATCTAAACATGCATTTTCATTGAGCAGTTTTAAAGAGTATGATCTCTAAGACATGTATACCTTTACAAGTAAATACCTTAAACAGCCGTATGCACAAGAAATGACCATAAACCTTTCTTAACAGCACTTTTACAAAACAGATGAATATCAAAGTTATGTAAACTATTCAGACCAAATGCCTTTCTATAATGAAATACTCAGTCAGTGGTTCACACCATAAAATGATAATGTTGTACAATATTGTTACATACTCTATCTACGATTCTGTCAACCAGGGTGAATGTGGTTGGCGTGATGAGATCGCTTTTCTTGGTTTTGGGTGGGGCAGGTTTCGGCACACCCTCTGGAAGACCATACTCGATCTTATCCTTCGAAACATACCTAAAATACACATATCAAATAAAGACTGTGGAAAGCGTATTCTTTTCATTAGAAATGATAAATAGAAATGATAAAGATATTATTTTTTATGCAGATTTAGTCTTGATAAGATGATGTCTGATTGCTTGACTGATGATGATGATGGTGGTGGTGGTGGTGGTGGTGAAGGCAATAAATATAACGACCTTGTTGTTGTTGTTGATGACGATGATGATGTCGACGATGACAACGATGGTGAATATGATGAGATTGGTTGTTATTATGAAATTGATAATAGAATTGGAGCAAAAATTATCAACATACTAATGAAACCTAATGTAACGAATCTTATTTGTTCGACATACATTTCTCGGAAAAAACCTAATGTACTTGACAGCTCATATCGTTTCTATAATTCTTTTCATTTATTTTGTATTTATTTTATATCAGAAAAGCGTTTACACCGATACAAGTGTCTCATCCGAACCCCCTGACCTTCCCTGTCAGTTGTTTCTCGACAACACAGTCTTGTATAAATACCATATATTTACATAATAATATACATTATGTAATGCTTTTTAATACTTAGTCCGGCCTAGACAAAATGTATGACTCACACTTTAGCATAGACGCTTAAAATAATATAATAATACATGAAATAAAAGATTTCAGATATTAAAATTAATCCATATTTAGATCTAACTTTATAATTGTATGAAATTTGAACGAATTGCCTTACCTGCTCATTATTTAATAAGAATGATATATCTCCTAAACTGTTTACCAGATTATATTCCCTATTTACAAAAATATCTACGATGTCATGATACCTCTCACGGTGTATAAGTAAAATGAAAAACATTTGAACGCTCGAATTACGTTAAGTGTATCATTATCACGATTATAAAGTGGGCGAGTTAGTGTCGCGAACAATTCAAAAATGTTCGAGGTTGAAACTTAATACAACAGCATCTTTACTGTTAAATTCGTATAGTTTATACCAGAAATAACACAGTAGTTACAGCTTTAGAATAATTACAATACAGAAAAAAATACTAGTATGATGATAAAAATTACAGAATGTATGTTTTTATTAGGTACATATTGGCAATTACGTAACGAACCTATTGGCAATTTCGTAACGAAGTGTTTAATATCCCTCGTTTGTCCCTTATCGGAGAAGGTTCGAATCACGCCAGGGACTTAAAACCCTTTCGTGTGTAAAAAGCTATCGAGCTAGCAGAATACCAGCGTTTTGTTGTTGTTGTTGTTGTTGTTTGTTCTTGTCTCAGATGCGTGGAGTGGCACCTAAGATTTTCCTCTAAACATTAACCGGAAAACATTTGGCATTCGAAGATTCAATGATACGTTAAGCCTAACAAAATTACAATAAGATACCTTTGTTGATACATTGACATTTTGTTGAAGCTACATGTACTTTATATTGTTGCATTATTTTTATTACTATATAACTTTGTATTTATAACTATATCATTTATCAAATTATCAAAGCAGCGTATTGAAAAATTCGCAAAAATCGATCCTATAAGAAAAACAACACATCGAATGTAATAAAACTATTTTACTCTTTCCTGTAACCCCCTGTCCCCACCCTCTTCTATCGTCCATTTCGAGTAAGTTTGAATTTTAAAAAAATAAGCAGAGAGAAAGCTGTCACGGAATGTACGATACAAACAATAGTGAAACTGAGCACAGTACATTAAAATGTAAGTAAATGCCTGAACGTGATTTTAGCGAAATAAGAACATGGTTATTGCGTTATTGAAGGGTTATATATACAAGTTTAGAACTGTGATAATAGACTATAACATAAAAGAATCGTGACTTAATATGATACGCATTAGTAACATAAAAATTTCTCTAAAAATAGAATTTAAATATCGGTTAGATACTAGTAATAAGTTAAATATGAAATAAAGCTATAAAGAATAGCAGATATTTAATTATTTTCTTACCGATAATTCGAGCCTTTTGTGCTGATAGTCAATAAAATGAAATATTTTACATACACACAAAATAAAACTGATATAAATGATATGACTAATTGCTTCTCATACCAAACAGAATCACTACCGTTAAATAGTTACATTTAAATTTCTTGAATGGTGACTCTTGAGATATCGTTTGCTTAATTACACTTTTTTTCGAAATCATAATTTTAAGTAAATTGGTAACAATGCACAATATTGTCCGTTAATGGAGACTACGTTGACAAAGACGAATTGGGTCTATATTTTAAAAAACATGTTTTTTCTTTTAAACGATTTAAATTATTAATAATACATCTAAATGTCGCTTGAATGAAGAATTTCCGTGATATTTGATGCAAACAAATCACGTGATCAAATAAAATTTTAAGTTATAATACAATACCTGACAGCAGACGAGCCTTCCCATTTATGTGGCTTCTCTGTGTATGTATAACCGTCTGCTGTATCAAGTGTGACCTTGACATCTCCGGCATGCTCATTTTCTATTTTTGCTGAGGTATTATTTCCGTTTTTTAGCCTCTCTCTGGAATTTGTATCTTCAACTGTTTGATTTTCTAAAGTGATTTCAGACACAGTCTGTCCTATGTCAATGTCAGAAACATCTACAGTGTCGTCTTTACAGCTAATTCCTAATGGTGTTTCTACATTTGACTGATCAGCAAGATTGTCGTCTGCGAGATGAGCATTTTCTTTTTTATCCGGAACTGATTGTGTGTTTTCACTATTTTGATTTGAAGTATCGTTGGTTTCTGTTGATTGCTTTAAATTTTCTTTTCTTAAATTATCAGAAGCCTTGTTTGAGTTTTCGTCAGGAACAATTTCCCGCGGTTTATTATCTGGAAATGAATCGTCGGTGCGGCCTCTAACGAGTGGATCATCGTTATATGCATGAGGTGTCTTTGTAGGCATTCGTTGTGGAGTTTCTGCCGTCGGCTGCACGGTATCGTTTCGAGTTTTTGTCGCTTGAGAATTGCCGCCATTTTCAGCTGCAGACGACAGGTCCTTGCTCTTTGATTTTGATTGTGGGCATCCCATAGTTACAAAGTGCACTTTCTGAAAGAAAATAAACAAGTTTAAGCGCGTAATAAACTCAATCTCGATTTATTCAAATTACACTTGTGTCCAAATAAATATATACAACTCATAAGATTACATGATATTAAAATGCCACGCCCTCGACTTTAGGTACCAATATGCATTACTTTATTCCATATGACTACATTGATTGCAATATGACAATCTTTACTAGATATATTCTCAGGTGCCATAGCAAACAGGAAATATCGGTATATGATAATTGATATATCTCATGCATGGGGAATTGTGAATGTTTAATGAATATTAAAGTTTTATCTGAAATGAAGCACTGTGAGTTAAATGGCGTTGAATAATTTCGTGTAAATAAGTAATCCTGATAGACTACAGAAATGGGGTGCTTATATCTACTCAGGTGCCCGCTAAAGTATACGTGAAATTCACAGGCACGAGTATCAAACCTGGGAAGAAAAATATGACCAGATTGTTGAAGAAAAAAAAAACACCCCTGTGTTCATCATAAATGTGTCAAAAACTAAAAGATTGTGCAATATGAGCTCCCTTGAAAATATACTATAAGTTAAAAGTAGTATTTTTTAAGGGGGCTCATATTGCACATTTTTTTGGACACATTTATGATGAAAACAGTGTTTTTTTATCAATCTGGTCATATTTCTTCCCAGGTCCGATACTCGTGCTTGTGGTGAAATTTGGATTTTTTTATCAATAATTATTTCATTATTTCAATTTAGTCGAGTTTTTATGATGGAAATTAATATTAAATACTTGATATTTTCCCAAGAAAGAAATCTAATTCTGTTTTTAAAATTGATATATTTTCTTGGTTGTTTAATAAAAAACGCAAAAACAATTTTTGTAACTCTTAACATTTCTTTATCCATTTTTGGTTAAGAAGGGAAGGGCCTTCATTAATGTTGGTAAAACTTGTGGCTTAAGGCTCATTTCCTCTAAACTGAGTTTACATACATGTTATTTGTATTTTGGTTTGTTTTCAATGTGCTCTTTGTGTTCTAACACAAGTTTTATGGCAACAAAATAGTATTGATTTTTTTCTTCCAAATGGCAAAAGCGGGAAGTCGCATTATATTACTTTTCATGTGTCGGTGTACCTAAACCTAAATTCACCATTTCCGGACCACTGAATGAGATAAAAACGTACTTGAGGTTATAAAATAATCAGAATATGCGTTTTGTGTGATCTTTCATCTGTTTTAATTTGCTACTATAAAAAATGCAAATCAAGAGTCTCATTAATAATTTACGGTAGACGAATTAGATAAATGTCCGATAACTCGTCAAGAACAAAAGGCAGGTTTGATCTAAGTGGTGATTGACTTACGTGTTTTTAAATGATACGACCTTAAACCATTACAAGGTGTGTCCGAATATATTAAAAATCATCTACATTTAAAATGTAGTCAGTTAAAACGAAACATGTGAGCTGCATTTTATAATTTAAGTAATTCTTAATGTAAAAGCTGCATGCCTCCAGATACTACATATTTCAATAGAAGGTGTTCTAAGATTTTAGAAAAAGTAAAAAGTTTAAAGATTTTAGTAATAATTGATATGTTATGTGCGATTAATGATTGATTTTTCAGTATTTATAACCATATTTCTACTGCTTTACTAACGCAGTAAAGGTTTTTTTTATATTTTGATCTCATTTTTGTAATTTTATTAATGCTGTCTGAAATGCGTAAATTGCTTCCTTAAGTTACTTCACAATATTTTACTTTTAAATACATTTTCAAAATTTTCATGAAAATTAGCATTAATATGGAGGCATGCTGCTTTAAGATTGTGTGCAACACCTGTAAAATGAATATGCAATAGATCAAAAAGTTTTTAGGTGCGTTTTTGTGTGTTTCATTTAATGTCTAGTGTTTGTGTTTCGTTACATAAAGGTGAATACCAATTTTAAACGTTTAATGTATTACTTTTAAAGAAAGAACATTAAAAGTAGGAAAGCAACCAGAAATTAATTCAAAATGAAACAATTAAAACAGAAATGTATGTAACTACCAACAGTAGTTTCGAAGTAAGCGGAACCTTTAAATGGTAAGCGTATTTATTCAGAAAATGAAGTTAGTATATTAATCATATATTTGATAGTTGACAGATTTGAGGCACACCGAAATAGCTAACATAATTTGGCGGGCTACCTTCTGATCAGTACTCTTCAGGCATGTCTAGGAACATAGCACAGCAACCGAGCTTGTATTAGCTTTCTTGATATTAGAATGGCTCCGTCACTTGAGACAGGTCTCTTTGACATAGAGCGAAGAGGAGCAGATAGTTTTAATTCAGCGACTAAATCGGTCACTGACAAATTTATATCAGTATTTTAAATCAATTATCTAACTGTGATATCGATTACCAGCAGAATTTTCCATTTGCAAACTTAATTTGCATCAAAAATATCAATAATAATCATAAGCTAGGTCAGGTCAAGTCAGGTCAGTTTGAAACTATCGATCATTAAACTATCCAGCATTTCTGAAAGAAGTTATTTGTAAAGTAACGTAGATTGTAACGTCGCTTTAAAAATTAGAATTGCTTAATATTTTTATGTCCCGGTCAAAGAGTCCGTGATCTATGGAAACACAGGTTAATGTGTGTGGTGGACAGCAAATGTATGTGCATGTATGGCACTATTTTATATCGGGGGAAATGTATCACTACAAAGCAGCATAGTCCTATCCTTCAACACGAAAGGCATGACAACAATAAATTATACATGCTCATTTAAATCAATTAAAACACCCGTTAACAGATTGAATTGTTAAGGTATTGATATGATGATAATTCGATAGAAAACATTGTTGTTTTAGCGACAAAATCGAATATCGACAAAATTACTCTATTAATTCAGATAAATAGGAAGTTGTGTTGAAAAATTAAAGTTTCGTAATATCTTACCTTCCTCGTTACTTGTATCCTGTGTTTGTATCACCGGCTTTTATAAACTCTCCACATTTCTGTAACTCGATGTGTTACATGTGAAGTATAAAAACACACTTTTTAAAAATTCAACCGATAAATCAACAAATCACTCGGGGTAAAATATTTAGCTACAGTCGTGTTCTATTTATCATTCAAACAGGTTTTTCTTAATCATGGTCTAAAAATAAACGCAAAAGCCGCCGTGCGTGTCTTTTGTTAATAGGTCCGTTTATTTCATTGATAAACGGTAGCAAAGATCGATTTTCAGTCATTCCCAGTATCGTTATAATAGGGCATAATACACCATTAGCAAAATACTACATAATAAATCTATCAATTTACACACAGGTCAAATTTCAAATTTGTTGATCTAAGAGCATTTTAATTTCAATACGACTGTTGTCTTAATTCAATTACTACCTCAATTTGCGTGAAAAATATACTTTTTTCTGAAATGTATTACAAAACAGGCGCACGTTTCTTCCCTATCATCAATTTTGCATAGTATGCTTAAATCATAGAATGAGAAATATCAGGTTATTGATATGACAGTATTTTTACTTTTCAACATGCAGATACCACTTTATTCTTTAAAATACCATTTTGATAGTTCCTATGACAACATTTTTTCTCATCATCATGATTTACATATAATTCCATTTTATAATGCGTATTTTCTTGTGTTTAGTATAACATAACGATCATACTTGCAACACCTTTAAAACTTCGAGTAACACCGTTGACATTTTACACTTTATAAGACACCATTTTCCGTTCTCCGTTCTACCATTCATGTACATGTACATGTAATACGAATTTACCAAATCACCATTTTATCCTAGAAATAACACTATTTACCCAAATGCAATACCATTTGTCCTTCGAATAACACCATTTCATCTTTCATACGACACATGTATTTCTTTTAACACCATTTCATCCTAGTGCCACCGATTTACCCTTCATATATCATAATTAATCCTGCGTATGGCACCATTTTACCAATTTTAAGACAATACCATTTTACCCGTCTTTATGCACCATTTACCATATGTACGCTATTACACCATTCTATTTTTCGTATAACACCATTTTACCTTTCGTATGACAGCATTTCTTCCGACGTACGTTACCATTTTACTCTTCAAATAAAACCATTATGCTCTTCCTGCAACCCCAATTTACCTTTCTTATTACACCAGTATGCCCTTCCTGCAACACCAATTTACCCTATTATGCAACACTAATTTACCTTTCTTATACCACCATTACGCTCTTCCTGCAACCCCAATTTACCTTTCTTATTACACCAGTATGCCCTTCCTGCAACACCAATTTACCTTTCTATGCTCTTCCTGCAACACTAATTTACCTTTCTTATACCACCATTACGCTCTTCCTGCAACCCCAATTTACCTTTCTTATTACACCAGTATGCCCTTCCTGCAACACCAATTTACCTTTCTATGCTCTTCCTGCAACACCAATTTACCTTTCTTATATCACCATTATGCTCTTCCTGCAACACCAATTTACCTTTCTTATTACACCATTATGTTCTTCCTGCAACACCAATTTACTTTTCTTATTACACCATTATGCTCTTCCTGCAACACCAATATACCTTTCTTATTACACCATTATGCTCTTCCTGTAACACCAATTTACCTTTCATATTTCACCATTATGCTCTTCCTGCAACACCAATATACCTTTCTTATTACACCATTATGCTCTTCCAGCAACACCAATTTACCTTTCTTATTACACCATTATGCTCTTCCTGCAACACCAATTTACTTTTCTTATTTCTTATTACACCATTATGCTTTTCCTGCAACACCAATTTACCTTTCTTATATCACCATTATAGCCTCGTATAACACGCTTTTATGCACCACTCTCATTAAAATCAGATCATCGTTGTCGCTCAGTTAGGATATGATTTTAATGAGATTGCATATAGCACCATTTTACCCTTATGATAGGAGCGTAAAATTCTGAGCTTTTGCCTATAAGTTGTTTCCTTTTCCAGCATATTTTGACATATTATTTCCAATATAATTGCAGATATTTTGACAACAAAACAACTGTGAAAAGTTTGACAGGCGTGTGACCATCATCTTGTACATGGTGATGAGGTTGGTGTTTGTAAACCAGAGGTCGTGAGTTCGATCCTCACTGGGGGCTCCATTTGTGGCAGGACTGGTCTGTACGGTTTAGGATACAAATAACACTCTGCTTCAAATCAAATATTTATTCACTGTTATTGTACATCAAATTGTACATCCGTGAGGTTGAAAATGATGTGATTTCCCTAACTTTCTTATATTTTTTATGATAGTCTTTTGATGACTTAACAACGCTGTCCCTATACTTTGTTTATTTATGACTTTCGCCATTAAATAATATTGTTATGCAAGAAGGTTTTTCCCAAATTAATAAAATTAGTTTCGATATTTGTCAGGACATTACAATTTAAATTTATTCAAGGCTTATAAATACAGCAGCCTTAAGGGACCTTTTCTTGGCTTTTTGTGCTGTTAATTTCATTTAATATATATTTCTTTATTTCCTACCTTACACCAGACAGGAGATTAACAACCCGATGACAGCACAATTAAATGTTTTGACAAGGGAGTACACCATGGCCTCTGGCACCACGAAAATATTCCATCCGAGCTCGGATATATACATTCGGACTGATTCAAGCCCGAATTCGCGGCTGTTTCCTTTACTATTAAATAGAACTTATTAGTGTACAATAGTCAAATCTTTTAACAGTTTATTAAAACTGAAATCATATCACATAATCACTATGCACATGTTTATTGATACTCGGCTATAACATCAGTTTACGTTAATGAATATGTATAACACATATTGTCTGTAAAATTACAGCTAACGAATTGATAAACTGTGTGTGCCAGTGCATACATTGATAAACAATAAATTATTTAAATTTTGTTTGGAATATTTTACAACATGTCTGTCTCCGGATATTTTTATTAACAGTCTTGATTATCCGGATATTTTTATTAACAGTCTTCATTATCCGGATATTTTTATTAACAGTCTTGATTATCCGGATATTTTTATTAACAGTCTTGATTATCCGGATATTTTTATTAACAGTCTTGATTATCCGTATATTTATATTAACAGTCTTGATTATCCGGATATTTTTATTAACAGTCTTGATTATCCGGATATTTTTATTAACAGTCTTGATTATCCGGATATTTTTATTAACAGTCTTGATTATCCGGATATTTTTTATTAACATTTTATTAAATGCAGTTTTGCTTTACAAGACTTCGAGAATATTGGAAGGATACTTTATTTCATCATCGTTATAAATCAAATCAAACTTTATTGAGTTATAAGGCCACCGGCCCATACACATATAAAGATTTATAATACAAAATATACATCTGTGGATGCTACAAATCAGACATGGTTAAGACATAATAGAAATATATAAAACAAAATGTCAACAATTATCATAGAAATAGAATTGGTACTAATTATCTAATCATAGACAAAAATAATTGTGTTCTTTAAGCGCTACATTTATCAAAGAAAAGTATGAATTACTAATTATCTAAACATATACAAAAATTGATCACGTTCTCTAAACGCTAGATATAGAAAAGTTGCTAATTTCTTAATTGTATCAATATCTTGAGTTGACATCAGATTATAATATTTTATGTATGAAGGATATTTCCAGAAATAATCACTGATGTAAGTATGTCTTATATTAGAGTAAAGTGGACAAATAAGTACAAAATGGTACTCATTTTCTTGTACACATTCACAAAATGGGCAATATCTATAATCACGTTCAATACAACTATATCGCCGAGAAAGTAATTCATCACTCGTGACTGTGAACACAACCTGAATGACAAAATATTTTTAAAAAGAATAAGTAAATAAGAAATGAACTTTCAAGCCATTCAAAATATTTTCAAATGATTTTTCAAATGATTCCAAACAAATTTGAAAACTTGAAAACTGAACCAAATAAGATGAGAAAAACTATTAGAATATCTAAGCTTGAACACCATCCAACATTGAAGAAATTAACAAAGTTGACGACAGTTCATCCCAAAACAGTTAAGAAGACTTGTCTTGGAAACATCAACTGCAGAGCAGACAAAGCCTAGTCTGACACTTTAGACAGAAAAAAAACTGATGCATACTTTTAAACATTGTCACATAATATTCAAATCATTCAAATCAAAGTAACTTTTGACATGACGCAATGGAAATAATTTTTCGAGATAAATGTTCAATGGATGTAGCTCATACCAGTAACTTGTGTGCAAATTTCAAACCAATCACTCCCTATAAGTCTTTTTCAGAATTCTAATTGTGAAAAAAGACCCCAGAATTCTAATTGTGAAAAATGACTCAAATTGAAATGTGGTACTGCGCTTTTCATTTAAATCGGACAAAGAATAGCTCAAAAAATACAATATTCAATTTATTATTGAGTATATGTCTTAATATATTTTGCATATTTTTCTTTATTTCAGGCCCCAGTAAGAAACTAAACCTCAGTGGAGTTCCTTTAAATACATTGATGAAAGTTTTATTTTGCTTATTTCAAATGAAGAACGTCCAATATCTAAATACTGCACATTCAAGCCGATAATTAGACGATGGAAATATGCCACAGTGGTTGATGTCTCAATGGAATATTCTTGTTCAAACTCAGAAAATTTCAAAAGATTCATCTGATATGTTCATCTAAACAAATTGAGAGATCATCAGGTGATACAACCACATGATATATTATTTATCACCACTGGCACCAGATCAGAAGGATAGTCAAGATGGGTCTCACGTGCCTTTAATATTGTAAAACCTGTGTTGAAATTTAACTAAAAGGAGAACATGTTCACTTTTGACAAGACTTTTAGTTAAGTCTATTGATAACATACATCTACCAAACGGTTTCAGTTTGATATAATACTTGCATGTTACACGTAAATTATAAACAAAACAATAGCTAATTCTCCGTTTGTCATTGAGTCAATTCACAAAAAGTAATTCATGCCGAAAATACAAATGAAAAGAAATGGGAAAAAGAAATAGAAACTGAGTTTGATTGGCATACAATATATATGGTTCCATTTTAAAGTACTACAGATGTGGCATTGAGAAATTTTCCATACAAATTTCTTCATAGACTTATTCCAACTAATACAATGTTATTTAAGTATAAACTTTTTTTTGTTATTTAAATTTATCTGATTTTTGTGGTAGCAATTTAGAAACGCTTTATCATCTTTTTTCGGAATGTACTATTATATAAAATTTATGGTCAACACTACATTATTTTCTCTTATCAATCAATATAGATTTCTCAAATAATTTAGAAACAGTGTTTTTTTTTTTTTTTTTTTTTTTTTTTTTTTGTTGTTTTTTTTTTTTGGAGAGCTTAAAAACAATACTAACAATATTTTAGTAAATTATATATACTCGGTATATTATGAAATATTTTATCCTTAAAATGAAATACAAAAAGCAGGAACCAACTTTCGATATTTTTAAAAACTTTTTGCGATTAAGACTATAAATATAAGAGAAAATTCCTTTTCTAAATGATTAAGTTTAATCACACAAAGAAAAATGAAGTAACTTGTAACACTCTAACCAACAACCCAACAGTAAGGGAAAGCTTAATAATTCAAAACCATAAAACGTAAGATAATTCATTGAAACTATTTCGCATGTTCCTTTTTAGTTTCTGTTTTTGTGTTTCTATGTATGTTTTTGTATGTATGTAGGTAAAAAGTTCTTTTGAATGCCTGTATGTATGTTTGTGTATGTATATTTCTCTAAATTTTTCTTTATTGTTTTTTTCTCTCTTTATTTTACTCCAAATAATATTAAATGTTTTTGAATATACTTTAAATTACCTTTTCTCTCTCTCTTTTTTTACACCAAGTAATGTCAAATGTCTTTGAATATACTTTAATTTTTCAGTTTTTTTTTTTATTTTGAATATTTTTTTTTCAAAATGAATGAATATATGGTAAAAATATGGAGTGAATGGATGTTTCGTACTTTATAGGTTTTTTTAAATATACGTTTGAACTGTATGTTAATGTGTATGTTTGTATAGTTATACCTCAAATATGAAATAAATAAATTCATGCCGAACGAACAGACACAATCTCAACAGAATAAAAACGACAGAGACATTGTACATCGTTTGTCGAGTAAAAGTAGGTGGGTTAATTTTTTTCAATTCTTACCTCGTTTTGATTTACAGTTAGCATTAACTTATTAAAAGTTGCAGAAACGTCAATTCAAGATTATGTTCAAGCTAGAATCATCTACTAAACCGCAGAAATTAACACAAATGGATTACTCTCATCATACAGATCAATGGTCAACTTTTGCTAAATATGTTACAGTCTATAAGCTATTTTAAAAGCATATAAAGACAGTCTACAGCACAATAAACGTTCTTAAATTGTGTTGTTAAGCCTTTGAAATTTGTAGTTTTATCACCTATCAGCTAGCTAATAAATATATACGTATTTCGTATGTTGTATTCATACCTTTTTTATCTAGCCCGTATAAAGGCTTTTTTATAGTAATTGACTGTGCTCTTGTTTTGTCCGTCCATGTACTAAAATATCATCAACAATTGAGATGGCAATTTCTAATTTAAGGTTCGAGGGCATGTTCATTTTCACCTTAATTATTTTTACCAAAAACTTTCAATAAATGCTTTAATACTTACAACGGTCCATCTCTTTATTGTTCGTTTAATTATTCCATCCCGTAAATACAATAAATACATAAAATACATAAATACATAATACAAAACGACACGAAAAAACTTCCAAAAATCCAAATATATTTGTAAACAACAAAAAGCTCACTAGCGGAAATAGCAGATACAGTTGGGCACATGACTGTGTTTAAAGTTCACACAATATATTTCAATAAACAATACAATTCTTACGGTTTATAATTTGTAATTTATGCGCCAACAAATTCATCACATTCGACCAGTGCAAAACATTACCAGCAGGTAGATTCGTTCTATCATAAACTGAACTGCAATGGGAACATATGAATAATGATGTATGACTAAAAGTGGACTTGTAAGTCCATTGTGTTAAGCGTGGTCTCAAGATAAGCGTGAGTGCGAAGTTTGGAATCTGTATGTCTATCTATTTCTCTATACATTCTATATTATGCTGTTTTCTGCAATTTAAGTGATTTAGCGTTCTGTCAAGACATTGCCCCGAGGACCGTCTGAGGTCCCAGGTTCCTTTTTCTTTTCTTATACCGATATACAATCCTAAATGACAACGGTCTTGGTTCTATCCTGAAAGAAATCTACTTTCCTTTTGTGAAAAGTGCATGTTATACCAAATTCATATTTTAATGTTTATGGGATATTTTATCAAATACCTTGCAAAGTTCATTATTGAAAATATGAATTTGCAATAAACTTTAGTTCATTCATTTAAATGATGTGCGTCTGTCTGTGTATCATGGTTATAAGACCTTAGGAAATATTTTGAATAAAATTTCAGTTTGGTTTCACATGAATGGAATGATTTAAATCATAAAGTTTCAAGAAATGAAATGTGCCAAGATTGAAGATTATGTAACATATTTTCTTCCAAGAGAAGACATATATGTCTTACCAGAACATACCGGTATACAATATATAATTCAATGAGATTAGCGTCATGTTTACGAAGCAGCCAATTGAATACACTGCAAAGAAAGTATAGAAGTGAACGAGAGCACGGATCCCGGACATGACACTTAAATGTTATTATCTACAAAAAGCTGACCTATAAATTTTGAATACAGTAATTTAATGAATGATACTAAATACGTATATGCTAGTAGATTTTTTGTGATTATACAATTTTGATGCACAGGAGGCCAATGAGACTATTATATGCATCTTGGAGAAAAATATTGTGTTCTTACCAAAATTAAATTATCATATCTTTCGGACGAGCTTGACTGACTGATAAGGTTTTGCAACTTGGACTGGTATCTGGCACATGTATTCTTTATGCATGGCATGGCAAGCATGCAAGAGCAATCTATCCAGTTTTTCACAGACTTGTCACTTCGGAATTCAGAATGAAATTTTAGCCAAAAAGTGGTTCCTTTTTCAAAATTTGTATAATGATGAGAATATCTTAAACCTGTGAAATATAAATTGAATTATATAATACATATATAGTAACATTCAGCAAATGTTATAGAACATATCATTTTATTATGTTTTGCCTTTTCATTGAAAAAGTGGGCTAGACTCCTTTCTATATCATTATTCATAGATAAATTGAGATTGACTCATATGACTGTATTTGTTATGTATGTAGCCAAGCATCGTCCATATAAGAACAATCGTATTGTAAAAAGGTCTATATCTCATATGGGGTTGAGATGAAAGAAAAAGACTGTATTTATTTTTTTAATGGCCTTATTTTGTCCAACTTTCGTTGAAGTTGGCTCATACGCCACAGGGCTTTATTTTATTAGTTATAAAGATTGTTGACAGGTTATATGGCCCTATATAAACGGCTATTTGTAAATATAACCCGAGCCGCTAGGCGAGGGTTATATTGCAAACAGCCGTTTAATATACGGCCATATAACCTGTCAGCAATCTTTATAACGAATTTATAATACAGCAAACATCAATTTTTTAGAGAAAAAAGTAAGATTTCTTCATGAATCGACAACAGCCGTGTATATAAAACTATATAAACGTCACGATTATCCAATGAAAAGCGACGTTACAAACGTGCAGTATTATAAAACTTCATATATAGGTTTATTTAAGGACCTTAAAGTGTCCAACCTTATTTTTTCCCTGACTTCGTCTTACAATATTTAAAGTATACTTATATAATATCCCGAAACAACCATTTTTCAATCACAACCTAAATTGAGATTTACTGACACCAGCTGAACTTCTTTGTATTATAAATATACGATATTATCTACAATAATCATATTACAATTACATATTATTGTAGCAATAAAACTAATTGATAATAATTCTATATTAACATTTCGCCACCACCCATGCCCCTCCCTCTCATGAAATTACACTAAATTATAAATATGTACAGATCATGTGATGTGGTATAATTATAAAATGAATGTAGCCATTATTAAGAGAATGAGAAATATAGTCTTGTTTGACCACTATACATTTAGTTTTGGTTGACCTATACCAATGTGCTCACAAACTCCTCGCAGCGGTTACTTCCCCTGATCTGTACAGTAACCACTGCCACAAGTAAATTCGGTCGAATATAGCCGGATATATTTTTTTCACTTTTAATTTTAAAATAGAATACTTTATATCATTTTAGTTTTCTTTCGTTAAATAGTTATGCTTAATGTACAAGAAAGTAAAAAATTATACGTATAAAAATTATTTTGTAAACATAACGAAAGATATTTTCACTGTGACACCGTATGCATAGTAACAACCAGTAAACAATGGCAGAATATAAACAGTTATTGAACGATTGCACAAAAAGATTTGATCCGGCACTTGTTTTAAAGTGATAACAAATTGTGTGTCTTGAACTTATTTTGTCTGGTAAGGATGTAATTATAAATCTGCCAGTTTGATATGGGATCCTTGGCGTTCTGAAACTGGCCGCCATGTTTTTGTCACATGATCAACTATCATCACGTGATTTCAGTGGTGGCAGTGGTTAAAGTAGCAAAGCGTGACGTAACCGCTGTGAGGAGTTTGATGTGCTCACTGTCAAACAAGCGCTGTAATCAGCAAATAAAGCGTCTAGTGAATGAAGTACTCTTGTTCCAGATTTTAGTTATGTAAGTAGAATTTACATGTATAGGTAGCTCTGTGATGTAAGTAAGGTTACTTGTCATATTCATCAAGGATAATTAAAGATAGATATATATATATATAGGTATTATTTAGAATTTTCCTCTTGTGTTCTGTGAGCATTTGTTTTATGTTTGTGTTGTAGAGTCACCGTACCAGTGCTCAACCAGTTTTTTACAAAATCACGTAAAAACTCTTTCAGAACAAAAAGTTTGCTGGGAAACTTATTTTTGTTACAAAGCTGGCCCTTTTAAACTCACAATAAGCTAAAGCTTTTTAATTACACAGATCAGGATACAATTTACCACGGAGTTGTATCTAGGGTATAAAACCACTATATTTTTCAGGCAACCCAACCAGTGCTCGACCAGGTGGTTTTATCTCTATCAGAACTTTTATTTTATAAAAACAGATATAATTTTTTATGTTCAACAATTCTATTACAAAAATATTTTTAAAAAATTATGTTTTAGTGTCTATAGATGTAAATATCAGAGTAAATATGATACGAAGAAAATGCTATACATTGACAAATAAAGTGTTTATAAGAGTTTTGGAATTTACATATACTGGGGCGTTTTGAATTACTTATTCTCATATTTTTTTACTAAAATCACTCTGCAAACATATTTAAGTGTGATACTTGGTGTAATATACAAATGGTCTACGCTTTTAGTGGTGTGTTCCCGATTTGATTCTGTACAGCCGCCATATTTGTTTACATGTTCATAGCCCCTGCCTTTTATGGAGAGCAGGGTTTTGATAATTTTTAAGCACCTTTCCTATGGAAATCAATTGGAATCATTAGAGTAAAGGCAATTTTACAAAGTATTGTCCACATTTGCCCTAAATTACCATTATTTCAGTGTTTTAAATAGTTTTTACTGCTACTTTAAATATAGAAATGTATTTTTGTACTGTTAAATATTGTCTGCAAAATGGCCAATCTTCTACCAAAGTTGGAGTACTTGTACATGGTGTAGAGGTTACAGGTCAGGTACAAAAAGCACAAACAAATTCCCAGGGTTTTTCCACTTTTATGCATTAATCATACACAAATAGAAGTATTGGTCGAGCACTGGGCTGGTCGAGCACAGGTACTGTGACTCTATTAATTTCACTCACAAATTATCAGCATTAATTTAATTTGAAATAGAATTTAAAAAATATTCATGTTAGTCGCTATTTAGTCTCTAGTTCTCTACACAGGTGAGGAATCAAACAGACTTGGGTCTGTTCATACACTTTCACCGATAGTATCAGTGGTCCAGTGTTGGCCCAGGACTTGCCCAACAAATTGTGCCACGGATTTATATTACAGGGATTGGACACTCCCAGTTAACCCTATATAAATGCTTAAATATCTTGTCGTGCATCCGATAAAGGTACATCGATGGATAATTTACCGGCGCTAAGCGTAAATGCCCGTTTACAACGGATACCTACTTTACAAAATACCATATAGCTTTTCCATTTATTATCCGATTTTGGAAATTTAAAGTTTATTTTGAAGAAAAATACTTGCTTAATTCAAATATCTAATTTATTTTTTTAAAGGTACAGTTTATCTGACCGCAACGACGATTAAAAAATTAACTTGAAAAAAATCCGCGGTAAATTTACATTTTTTATATAAAAAGTAGGTATTTGAAATTTATTATTATGGTAACATAATAAATTCAATTTCAAAATAAAAAATATGCCGATGTAAGTTATTCACAGATGATCAAAGATGCAATATTTAAGATTAATTGGGTAATGTAGTCAAATTTATTAACGCACAATTGTTTTACGGGAAAAGTATTGCGGGCTTTACAATTCGCTCAACATGTGAAGAAAATTTATTCATTTTTTAGTACAAAATATTGGCGAGATAGTAACTTTTGATTATTTTTTACACGACGCTTAAATTTCTTTGAAGTTTAATTACTTTTGACGGGGGTTAATTACCAGGTAACAAGTGATAATTGAAAAACTTTATTTTTAAACTTTCATTTAATCTTAAAAAACAAATAGAATTTGAATGTATATTTTGTATGTGCGCGGTCTTTAACTACAGTCCATGGTATGTGTGGTAAGAAAATGATTCTGAAGAGGATATATATCAATACAATGTAAATCTATTTTCTTTATTAACATTTATAAATGAAAAAGAAAATATACAACTAAATATGTATAGCCCTTTCTTTGAAAACTAATTAGAATAAACATATGACAAATAAATCATTTAACGTGAATTGTGAAGGATAACTATGAAAAAATCTGTTTCAAAATAAAAAAAAAATATTATAAAACAGCTGTTCCGTATGCAAATAATAGTTTCTTCCTTGCCAATCTAATGAATTAATCTATATATGAACGCTTGTCTAGAATGATCTGAAAATATATTTAATACACTTAATAGTAGAATATTTACTATATTTATACTAATTAAATATACAGGTAATCAAATAAAAAATGTACAAATCATTTGGAAATAATTCACAGAAATAAAGACAAATTTCAAACATAAATTTCTTCAAAAGTTTTTAAGCAATCAAGAAACATTTTTTTTGCAATGCACCCATTAAACCATGTAAAAAAGAATTATCTTAATCTGAATCGCGGTTATAATTTGTGCTTGAAGTAAAAGGGCGTCAAAGTGTAGAGAGTATGCCTAAACAATAGGCAAATATTTTTTAAATTAGGTACTTTTTTAACTAAGCGTAGCATCGTTCTTTCGGCATATTTTAATATATAAATACTTTAGCGACACAAAATAATACTGTATCGATACATTCATATGTATATAATTTTTCACAAAGCTACAATAACACCACATACTCATGTGAAAATCAGTCAATTTTGCACTCCGCGCGTTCCGCCATCTCACATTCTGTCCACCTTTATCCTATGTGCGATTCCGCACAAGGCGCGACGAGACTTTAAGCTAAACGGAAGTGTCCGATCCTTGTAATATAAATCCGTGATTGTGCTAAAGGGCTTTTTATTATCACTCATCATCATTTTACTCTCACCACAAATCATCCATATTTTCATCTACTCTCAAATCACCTATAGCAATTTCTAATAGCCGTTATTGGGTCATATCCCCAATTGAAAATAGTATATTATTTTCCCAATCTACAGGAAAATATTCCCAATTGAAAGTTACAAAATAAAAGTATTGAATAAAGAATTATAAAATCGTTGAAAATAAGGGCTTATTCACTGTAATAGTGCTTTGAAGATGCCATCCTAGACAATGATTGTTTGCATTCATTTAATGACTGCAAAATTTCAGTTATGCATTTCTTTCCCAATTTTTAACAAAACATCGAAAATGGGTATGGGTCATGATCCCAAAATCCTGGAAAAAATCCCTGCAATAAATTGGGCATAATACTCAAAAATCGTCAAACTCACCATCCCACTTACAAATCAGTTAATCACCATCCTACTCAAAAACCACCTAACTCACTCACCATCATTTCACTGTCTCCTAAACCATCAAATTCACCATCAAACTCACAAGCTAACAAACTCACCATCTCAATCACAAACCATTAAACCCACCATCCCAATCACAAATCATCTAACTCAATATTCAACTCACAAATTATCAAACTCATCATCCCCTTCATAAATCAACTAACTCACCATCCAACTCACAAATTGTCAGACTCATCAACCCATTCACAAATCATTTAACTCATCAACCCATTCTCAAATCATTTAACTCACCATCCCACTTACAAATAACCTAAATTCATCAATCCACTCACAAATCATTTAACTCACTATCCCATTCACAAATCATTTAACTCACCAACCCACTCACAAATTACCTAAACTCATCAATCCACTCACAAATCATTTAACTCATGGTCCCACTCACAAATCATTTAACTCACCATCCCACTCACAAGTTACCTAAACTCACCGTCCCCCTCACAAATTACCTAACTCATCAACCCATTCACAAATCATTTAAATCATCAACCCACTCACAAATCATTTAACTCATCAACCCACTCACAAATCACCTAACTCATCAACCCACTCACAAATCATTTAACTCATCAACCCACTCACAAATCATTTAACTCATCAATCCACTCACAAATCATTTAACTCACCATCCCACTCACAAATCACCAAACTCATCAACCCACTCACAAATCATTTAACTCATCAATCCACTCACAAATCATTAAACTCATCAACCCTCTCACAAATCATTAAACACATCAACCCACTCACAAATCATTTAACTCATCAACCCACTCACAAATCATTTAACTCATCAACCCATTCACAAATCATTTAACTCACCATCCCACTCACAAGTTACCTAAACTCACCATCCCCCTAACAAATCACCTAACTCATCAACCCACTCACAAATCATTTAAATCATCAACCCACTCACAAATCATTTAACTCATCAACCCATTCACAAATCATTTAACTCACCATCCCACTCACAAGTTACCTAAACTCACCATCCCCCTCACAAATCACCTAACTCACCATCCCCCTCACAAATCACCTAACTCATCAACCCACTCACAAATCATTTAACTCATCAACCCACTCACAAATCATTTAACTCATCAACCCACTCACAAATCATTTAACTCATCAACCCATTCACAAATCATTTAACTCATCAACCCATTCACAAATCATTTTACTCACCATCCCACTTACAAATAACCTAAACTCATCAACCCATTCACAAATCATTTAACTTGCCAACCCACTCACAAATTACCTAAACTCATCAATCCACTCACAAATCATTTAACTCATGGTCCCATTCACAAAAATCATTTAACTCACCATCCCCCTCACAAATTACCTAACTCATCAACCCACTCACAAATGATTTAACTCATCAACCCACTCACAAATCATTTAATTCATCAACCCACTCACAAATCATCTAACTCATCAACCCACTCACAAATCATTTAACTCATCAACCCACTCACAAATTACCTAACTCATCAACCCACTCACAAATCATTTAACTCATCAACCCACTCACAAATCATTTAACTCACCATCCCCCTCACAAATCATTTAACTCACCATCACCCTCACAAATCATTTAACTCACCATCACCCTCACAAATCACCTAAATTCATCAATCCACTCACAAACACCTAACTCATCAACCCACTCACAAACACAAATTCAGATTCACTCTAGACAAACCAGCAAACTCACCATCCCACTCAGTCACAAATGATCAAACTCAACATCCCACTCATAAACCATTAAACTCAACATTCCACTCACAAATGATCAAACTCGTCATCCCACTCACAAATGATCAAACTCGTCATCCCACTCACAAATGATCAAACTCACCATCCCACTCACAAATGATCAAACTCTCCATCCCACTCACAAATGATCAAACTCACCATCCCACTCATAAACCATTAAACGTATCAACAAGCAATCAAATTCCCCATCTCACTTACAAATCATTAGACTCAATAATCCATCCACTAACCACCTAAGAACTTGCTCAACTTAGTTAACACTCACCATCTAATGATCTTCATCTGCATCCCACACATTCACATAAATTTTCACATTATTCCATTTACTTAACATTCATTGTACCATCACACTTGAATCAATCTTGTTCTTTCACACCCATTTCTCACTCATTCAATATAAATATAGTCCCTATGAAACAAACAGTTGCTTGTGTTTTAAATGCTTCACAACTGTAGTATTCTTATGTAAGTGTCTTCAGAAGTTCTAATTGGGTCAAACCTGATATAATTGTGTAATAAAATGTAGTAGCCTGAAATCACTGGCCTAGTGGCCTATATTATTTTGTAATCAGATAAAAGGTTATAATAGTTCACTGAGTTGTTTATATTTTGTCAACCTGACTATAGGAAATATTCATCTGTCTCAGAATGAGGTACAGTAATATTTACTGGTCTATGGTTTATCAACACAGGTTATAAATCATTGTTTTACTGGTTGTTACCATTCATTTGTCTTATTTTAGTGGTATATTTTTCTGAGTTTACAAATGTTCTTTCAGGCAAAGTTTCACATACATGCTCTTTTATTTTGAACTGTTATGTAATGTTAATATGATTTCAACATGCAAGCAAATTGTGAATTGAATTCAAGAATTTACTACAAATGTACAAACAAATGATAAACTACTTTTGTTTCCCACTTTCTATACAATGCTGTGGCATGGCATTTTACAAATCCATTCCTGTTGTTTTTCTTTTTTCAGGACAATTTTGTCAAGACTACCTAACCTGTTGTTTGTAATTCAGTCTGTGTTGAGACATCAGCCTGTAGCAGGTCTGTTTTTTATGGGCTTTATGGGTGATAGACCTTCAACTATGCCTACACCACAAGATGCCTTGCCAGGTATGAATTCTTACCCTGATAAATATAACTTTTCCTTTTCTTTAATTTCATTTGATACATTCAGGAAATGTTTCATTTATTATAAATAACTTGCCTGTGTCTTTAAAGATCCTGTATGTTGTAATTAAGGTTGTTGCCACTCTTAAGTAAAATTTTATTTATGTATATTATATACTTATTCTTCTCAAACAATTTTCAAACATTGAAGAATATGTAAAATATGTACTGCAAATATTTTTCCACATTATATGTAATCATTAAAATATATGCTTTCATCTCTTATTGAAAAAATAGACTTTATAGAAAATAAATTTCTAAATACCTCCCTTTATTCACATAAAATGTTAATTCGGTAATATCTTTACAAATAATGCTTTTTGGACCTTACAATATTTGTAAATCTTCATTTGAGCATTATATTTATGATAAAAAAACATAAAAAAATTGTGTTACAGGATCTTTAACAAAGATAACACTAAAGCCCTTGAGTCTTTCACAACATTGTTACTTTATCACATGTTACTCAAATTTGAATGTTAGATTTATGACAAAAATATGTCATGTGCTGTTAAATTACTGAACTAATTATGTTGAGTTACAAGTGTGGCATTAAATTCATGTAATTATATATATTTATTCACAAGTTAATGATATGTCTTTTATAAATTAATTTATTTATTAACAAATTTAATGTAAATGTTTTATTTTTTTCAGGACGTGATGAGAGAATAAAAGTCTCACCAAAACATGCTGTCAATGGAAACCCCACAGTGCCACCATTTCCAGATGAGATGCAAATGGCTATGTTTGGTACATATTTTTTAAACATTTTGTGTGAATCAAATGATATTGTTATTTGTACTTCTTGTAACTGTTGTTTTTTTTTGTACTTCTAGGAGTAGAAACTGTTGAACACAATTTCCTCCTGCTTGTAAGTTATTCTTGCTTTATTTAATTGCCTTGTTGAAATTTCAAGGTGTTTACATACATGTATTAAATAATGACCTTGAAAGTTTATAGAGATCATAGTGTAGAAAAGTTGGAATTTCATAAAGCTTTTCCAAGTACAATACAAGATGTCCAGATTTTCAAAATGACAAGGTGAAACTTCAGAAAAGTAAAATATGCAAGTGACAAGATATTCTTCTTTATGACATGAAAATAAAAGAAAAGTGATGAAACTTTTTGGACCAAATCAAATGATATTGTAGGTAATTTTGTTTTTGAAAGTATTTATATATTTTTACTGTTGTTTTAGGGATGGGCTGTTTCTGGGGAGCAGAAAGAAAGTTCTGGAAGCAGGCAGGTGTTTATTCTACACAGGTAAGGATAATATTTTGATAATTTTAATCAACCAGTCAGAAACTGGTGTATGATAGTGATCTAATGTATCAAGGTTCATTACATTTGTTTATTGTAGAAAAAGAAAAACATACATCTATGAAACTTGCTACCCTTCTAAAATTGAATTTGGTAATTTGCAGTACAGCACAAATTGTTTTATGACAGTCATTAAAGAGGTTTCACTGAGGTTTTTTGATATACAGTAATGGGACTGGAAATATTTTTTTCTTCAAGATTAAATGTACAATTGAGGTAGGTCTAGACCAATAACTTGTGTGCAAAAAATTACAGATTATTTGCTGGTATATTTTTCTCAAGTTTGATTTTCTTGAAATATTTGGGCTCAAAAAGAAGCATGCAGCTTTAAACTTATTTAATCATCCATATTTGTGAAGAGAGCTTCAACTGAAAGAAAAATGCAATAATTAATTTGAAATGATTTCTTCAATTAATGATATGACACTCAAGATCGAATTCAATCCAAATGGGGGAAGTGCTATGAAGTCATTGACAGTAAATAAACTTAGCTGCTATCTAATTAAGATGGTTTTGAGTTAACTTTTTTGTCTACTGTCAGGTTGGATATTCAGCCGGTTATACTAAGAATCCCACATACAGGGAGGTGTGTACGGGGAATACCGGACATAATGAGGTGGTCAGAGTCGTGTTTGATCCAAAAAATGTTTCATATGATGAAATTCTAAAGGTAGAGTATAAAGTTTGCTACAGTAGGATGTTTAAAATGTGTATTTTATGCTCAGTTGTAAAGATTTGGATTGTGTTAACATAGAACATTGAATAGATTATACAGTGAAAATCGTGTGAATTAGAGAAAATTATTTTCTATTGGTCAAAGAAAGTACCCAATGTGCTTTTTCTGCATAAAGTTTTCATGATCAAGCTGTTGAGAGTACGTAGTAATTAGGTATTCAGCTTTGACTGAATGGCTTAACATAACCAACTAATAAACTTAAAAAATTGGCAATTAAGTCAACTGACATACATGTATCATATGATACGTGTTAAAATAAGGTTCAGTATGCGAAATATTTTGTCAGAGATGTACCTTTGTGTTACATACTGTGAATCGGAATGTTTTACATACTACATGGTGATCGCCCAAATGTTTTATTATAATAGTACTTTCATGTTTGTTATTAATTTTATTGTTCATGTACATTATGAGTATTAAGATATGATAGCACATGAAAGAACCCTAAAAGTCTTCCTTCCTTCTGTAATGTTGGATGATTGCCAATAATCCTTTTAATGGCTTACAACAGAACCTCAAAATGTGTTATAAAAATTAACCTACATTCACACTTATGGATGATTTTAGTATGTCATGTAAATGTTTTATTTTATTGTAAAATATATTGTTCTGTTAAGATTACACAATAATAACATACTTAACACAACTTTAATATATATATGTATATCAATATTAATGTAATACTGTGTGTTACAGGTATTCTGGGAAAATCATGACCCCACAACACCAAATCGTCAAGGAAACGACCAAGGAACACAATATCGGTCAGGAATTTATTTTTACTCTGACGAACAACAAAACGCAGCGGAAGCCTCTAAAGAAGCATATGAAAAACTGATAATATTGAAAGGTTACGGCAAAATTGTGACAGAAATAATTCCAGCATCTGAGTTTTACTATGCAGAAGATTATCACCAGCAATATTTACATAAAAATCCCGACGGTTATTGTGGATTAGGAGGCACGGGAGTGAGCTGTCCTATTGGTCTCGGGAAGAAGGACGGAAAAAAGAAGCCGAACAGCGAATTGTGATATATGATAATATACAAAAAGTGCTTTCAATTTTTTTAAAAGAGATATTTAAAATACCTATTTATTTGATTGCTTTCAGGTGACATGACTAACTAAGTTTTAAATTTTGTTATGTGTGTTTAGCTGATCAGTACTCGGAGGTGAGCATTTGTGATGGCAATGTCCGTAGATCTTCTTATAAGAAACTACAATCACTGGAATTAACATTTAGCCATGTAGCGTCCCCATGTGGTCGTCTACAAAAGTTACATGCTTGGGTAACTTAGCTTGTATAGACTTAAATTGTCACTTAGATTATATTAACTTATATAGGAAACTCACGCCTTCTTGAGTGGAACTGCAATGCCCAAAAATAAGATTTTTTGGCATGAAGCATCATGGTGTGCCTTGGCCCATTGGTCAGATATCATTGTTAGTCCCCTACCGGTTTAACCGGAGGGGACTTTAGGTTTACCCTCCGTCCGTCTGTCCGTCTGTCTGTCTGTCAGTCTGTCAGTCCGTCCGTCCACAAAACTGGATCCCGCGATAACGCAAAAAGTACTGAAAATATTTTTATGAAACTTGATATATGGATAGATGGCAGTATGGAGATTATGCACGTCTTTTTTTTTTTCTTCCTATGTTGAAAATTCTGGTTGCTATGGCAACAAATAGTCTGAAAATATGGCAAATTTAAACACAATAACTGGATCCAGTGATAACTCAAAAAGTACTGAAAATATTTTTATGAAACTTGAAATATGGGTAGATGGCAGTCTGGAGATTATGCACATTCTTTTTTTTTCTTCCTATGTTGAAAATTCTGGTTGCTATTGGCAACAAATAGCCTGAATTTCAAGTATTCTGATTTAAATTTTCAGCTTTTTCACTATATGTTCTTTATTTCTTAAGGTGACAACAGACACTTTCCGTGGTAATCACATAAATGTCATTTAAACCAACTTATTTTAGTAATAATTGTTATTTATTTAATCTTTATGCATTAAATGTCGTTGATCATCATAAAAAATAACATATTTGAAAAAAAATGTCTTTGTAAATGATTGATTTTTAATAAAAATCCTAAAATTTTAAATCGTCATAAATCAAAAGTCATTTTTTATTTTTTGTCATCAAACTTTTTGGAAAATAAACATACTTATAATATCTGGGGAACCGTGTCTCAAATTTTGTCTGTCTTTACTCAAAAAAAATATTACGTAACGTCAAACATTTTATGCGACTTTTTTCACCATACATATTACGTAATTAAAGATAATTAAGTCGCTGATTGAGCAAACAAAAAATCCCTGACACGGTTCCCTCCGTAAATGAATTCCCTTTCATGTGCTTTAAACCGCATGTTAATTGCTTGATTATTAAAAAAAGTTATGCCGATTCAAAGTTAGTCCGATCCGCATCAAACGAAGTGTCATAAATTGGCTGTTCTCTCTCGGACCCCTACGTTTCACGCTAAATAATTACATAATACACAAAAATATCGCACCAGAGAGGGTCACAAGTTGCTTCGGTAACATACACTAACAACATTTATGACCCAGTGAACATCTGACCAATTAAAAAGTTGCTGATTAATATCAGTTTATAACAGAAATTTCTTCACATCTTAACGTGATTTACCGTTAGTCTGGTATCGGTTGCACATGTCACGTGACTTTCGGTAAAATTTGAGGCACTCGGTGGGGGGAAATGGACGTATTTGTGCACCGCTTGCTAGCGGGGTATTTAATTGTTTCACATTGAAGTTTATTATTATTATCATCAGCATATTATTATATTATACCAGTGTCACTCTATCTGTGTACTCGTGTATGAAATTCCGTTAAAATATAAATTAAAATAACAAAAAAACTGAGCTTCTGACAGTATTTTAAAGTCCATGGTAGATGTACAAATAAGAACGGGATTTTATATATTTTTTTCCTCCAAATTGATATATAAATGCTTCACATATTCTAATAGAAATAAAAGGTATCACTCGATCATTATGATCTGACTTCTTGACTTCTATTATCATGAAAATCATCTATGCACGGCATAGAGATCCAGTTTCTACTGGGATATACAATAAATTCCAAACTTTCTCCCAGGTTTATTAGTACTGTGTTCGATTTACTAGCGAACAATTTATTCAAAGCATTCACTGATAATTTATTTTATTATCTTTTTTTATTGATTCATAGAGAAATAATCATCCTTAGACAACCTAAAAATGGTTTAGAAATTTGTCAGGGAGACCTTACCACAAGTCATATAGGCGTTCACATAAAAAATGTTGTCTGTTTTTGTTGTTGTTTTACTTGACATTGTTAGAAAACGAGGTTGAATGTAAAGCAAGCCCCTGAATCCGTACAAAAATCCATAAACTCAATGTAAGATCTATCAGATTAACGGGACAGACAAATTATTTTTCACACATTATGGATATTTTAGCAACTATATTTTTAATCAACCCCGTGGTCGTGCGATTTGTCGCTATGCTTAGTTATTTATGTTTCATACATTATGTTACGTACATTGGCCGACAATTTCTTATTTTATAAAAAAGGCTAAATAAAAGGTAGACGATATTCAAAAAGATGTACGGTATTTGTACGATACATGAATTACGAGTAGTATGGACCAGTATGGACCGGTAATTCACGCATATATGGAACTACCGATTTCCCTCATTGATGCTCAACAGGGGGCGGAGCGTTATCGATAATTGACAGGTTACGCGATAGCAGATAAAAATAGTACAGGTACCGTTTTAAAACGTTTAAAAACACATTTTTTGGACTAACTGCTTCCAAAATTAAATCACGAATGTGTTCAGAAAAGGTTGATAAATATACTAAGCAAAAAATCTCATTTTAGGTATTTTCAGTGATAATTGACTCCGTTGTCACCTTAAGGTGTTTACTTCAAACTTTAAATATAAGTTTCTGGTCATCAACCACATCATATGTGACAAGGTTTATAACTCTAGCACAAAAAATATCAGTATTACCTCCCTTGAACTTAGTTTTTTAGGGGAAAAAATGTTGTCTTTTTTAAATAACTTCTTTATTTCCTAATGTATCTACTTCAAACTTCATATATATGTTTCTTATTATCACTCGACATTTTTGAGAAGGTTAAATACTCTAGCAAGACTATTTCCAGAATTATGTCCCCCTTTAACTTAGATTTTTTTAAATATTAACAAATAGTCTGAAAATATGGCAAATTTAACACATAAACTGGATCCAGTGATAACTCAAAAAGTACTGAAAATATTTTTATGAAACTTGAAATATGGGTAGATGGCAGTCTGGAGATTATGCACATCTTTTTCTTTTCTTCCTATGTTGAAAATTCTGGTTGCTATGGCAACAAATAGCCTGAATTTCAAGATTTCTGATTTAAATTTTTCAGCTTTTTCACTATATGTTCTTTATTTCTTAAGGTGTTTACTTCAAACTTTAAATATAAGTTTCTGGTCATCAACCACATCATATGTGACAAGGTTTATAACTCTAGCACAAAAAATATCAGTATTACCTCCCTTGAACTTAGATTTTTTAGGGGAAAAAATGTTGTCTTTTTTAAATAACTTCTTTATTTCCTAATGTATCTACTTCAAACTTCATATATATGTTTCTTATTATCACTCGACATTTTTGAGAAGGTTAAATACTCTAGCAAGACTATTTCCAGAATTATGTCCCCCTTTAACTTAGATTTTTTTTTCGAGAAACTGGTATTTTCACTCCAACTTCTTCATTCCTTATAGGATTTACTTTAAAATCCCACATCGTAATAATATGACAAGGTTGTATAAACATAATTTCCTTACTAAGCATGGAAACTTAACACATTACTGTGATATAGACAAACTTATTTTATTATGTTTTGTGGTTGATATTTTCAAATACAGACTTCATCCTCAAATTCATTATAAATGGCAATACACAGGAGTGTATGACAATTAAAGAACTTTTTGAGGGACCGGTAGGGGACTACTGTATTGCCCGCAATACTATCAAATGCTTGTTATATAAATCATGTCTTTGGGGTTAGAATCTTCCCTCTAGACCAGTGGTTACTTGGATTATATAGTCTTATATATCAAAATGCATTAAAGTAACTTTGAAAAACCAGAGTTTAGATATTCAGCTTGTAGCTTAACTTTGTTTTCTTTGTGTACGGTCACTACCTCTTCGAATGTTTCCTGAAATTATTCCAATTATGTTAAAAAATGATTCCACCTTAGGTGTCACTTTGTTTACATAGACTTGTGTACTTAGAATGGCTGAAAAAAATCTTATATGAAAATACTATGCCCAGAGTCTAGATAATTAGCATGTAGCATCATTTACAAATGGACATGGCTTGTGGTTCTATGTAAATCATGCTCTTGAGATGTAAGATTTTGGCCCTGGACAGGGGATCATTTAGGTTATTTAGACTTATATAATTTTTCTTGTGTTAAAACCATTTAGCATGTAACATTTCCTAGGAAACACCTATAAATATTTTATAAAGTATGCAGCTGAGGTCAAAAATGACACACCTAATGTGACATTACTTCACCATTGAAGAATGTAACCTTTTTCAGCAACGTATCCCAGGTGAGCAATTGAGGGCCATAATGGCCCTCTTGTTATTTTATACTATTTCAAGATGTTTTTCATAGATCTTGCTGAAATATAATTTTTCCTATAACATACAATGTAGTTATAAATTATGTGTTAAAAACCAGCACAATCAAAATTCAAACACAGAATCTGTATTTCCAAGCCTGGTTTTACATGTATAAAGGTCCTGTTTTTGAACATTCAGTAAATAGGTAAGATAATATATGCTAGCTTAATGTTCTGGGTGCTACATTTAAAGTAAATTTTATAAGTTGAAACATTGATTTAATTAGTCTTAACCTGTTCTGTTTTATTTGATTAAGAAAGTAATTATCAAATATAATTGATCATTTTAGGTTGACTTTTCAAAGAATATTGGAGCTTTCCTACTCACCTTGACATAAGAGTAACTTTATGCATGTCTTTGAGATATTGATATCTGGTCACTT